TCCCCATTTAAATGAACAAGGTGGTAGCGATCGGACAGGTAGGATCTAAACCATCTTAAAGCCTGCCCTTGAATACCTGTATAGTTTTGTAATCGATCTATGAGTATGTCATGATCTATAGTGTCGAACGCAGCACTAAGATCAAGTAAAACTAGCAATGAGATGCAGCCTTGGTCTGACGCAAGAAGCAAGTCATTTGTAATTTTAACAAGTGTTTATTAGTTTTTGTTCTTTTTCAATATTACTATTTACATTTTTATTCAATTTTTTATATACATATTATTCTATTTTTATTTCAGTTTTAGTTTTTTTCAGTTAGTAATTTTAGTGCTTCTACTTAAACTTACTGTCTTTTAATTAGTTGCTAAGGCAACATTTTGAATTTTAAATGTAGTTCAAGTTTTATCAACATTTTTTTTTTAAATTTCAGCTAGATTTCAATTTATTAAAATGTCTTTAGTCGTTGTAGTTTTACTTACGGATAATGCTGCTGTGATGTGAATATGAAAACTGAACGCAGGAGATTCTTATGCTGTTCATTGTTGATATTAACATGCAGCTCTGAATGTGTGTGTGTGTGTGTGTGTGTGTGTGTGTGCAGGAACACAAACCCCAGAGACGCTCCTGTGAGTGTGTGTGTTTGTGTTTGTGTGTGTGTTTATGTGTGTGTGTGTGTGTGTGTGTGTGTACACCCGTCAGCGCGGTTCCTCATCACATTAATGAATAGAGTTTATATAGCGGCAGCCGTGAATAAGACGCAGATATAATTCCTCTATACACTGACCTCAATCTGGAGACAAAGCCTTTTGAAACGCCCACGGCCTAATCCACACATAATCAGCTGTTTACCGCTGCAAAAACACTGTTTACCCTGGTACCGCTGCTCATTTACTCTGTCAGTCACGGCTGTTATGATAATCTGTGTTTTCTGATGCTGTTCTGAAGGTCAGGGAGTTAAACAGGTGGAAGAATAGTAGTAGTGAATGTGTGTTTTTCCACATCAGTTAAACCCTCTACAGCGAGTCCTCGGGACATTTGCCTCCGGTTCATTCTGAGTGGAGATATTTGATTTATTACATAATGATATTTGCACACACCACTTAACCTCATCTCAGCGTCTCCTCAGACCTTAAATCATCTCATCTAGATGGTAAAAAGGTGAGATGTAATGAGCGGTGTGATATTTAACATGAGCTCATGCCGTGTGCTGTGGATGCAGATACATTTAATGAGCTGCTTCTGATGTTTTAATGCTCATGGATTAGTTTCAGGTAAACGCTCTGAATATCAGCAGTGGCTCAGACATTTACCTGATGAACAGATTTAATTGTTTCCTCTTTAAACAATCGTTCAGTGTTGTGGCTTTTGAAACACATCTTCACAGATAAAGGCAGCAGTGTGTGTGTGTGTGTGTGTGTGTTAGTCTGTGTGTGCGTGCGTGCGTGTGTGTGTGTGTGTGTGTGTGTTAGTCTGTGTGTGCGTGTGTGTGCGTGTGTGTTAGTCGCTCTGTCTTTCTGTCTGTCTGTCTGTCTGTGTGTGTGTGTATGTGTGTGTGTGTGTGTGTCTCTCCTTCTCTGTCTGTCTGTCTGTCTCTCTCTCTGTCTATCTGTCTGTCTGTCTGTCTGTGTGTGTGTGTGTGTGTGTGTGTGTGTGTTACTCTGTGTACGTGTGTGTGTGTGTGTGAATATTCACGCGTCTCAGTCTCACGCAGGAATCGTCTTATTTACATGCACACGACTGCAGGATTGTGCCGGTGAAGCTCTAACACGTCTAATTGTCAGGAGTGACGTCTCATGAAATTCAAATGTGTAATGCCTGCATGAGATTTGTTCCGCTGGCGATTCGCTCTGAGCAACCTGTGAGGAAAAGAGCCATTAAAAACAGAGCTCTTCTGAAATTGAATGGATTTTAATAGTATTTGGACACTTACAAATGATTGTTAGATACAGAATATCACAGCAAGTGTCATTTATTGTAAAGAAGAAGCATAAACACACTTAAACATTTGATAAAAGGTCAGATCTGGTGATGAAAATGAAGAATTGTGTCACTTCATCACTTCATGTGATTCATCAGATCAAGTGTCTGTATTTTCAGGATCTTTGCTCTCGGTGTTTTGCTGATTTTAGTGCATGTCAGTTCTGCTCAACTTCACACAGGTGTAGAGAATCACATTAACTAGCAACATGATCCACTAACTAACCACAAACACACACCGTACTGACCGTCTTCAGCTTCAACATCTATTGATTTAGCAGTTCAAACACATCATGTTTCACTTCTGTTTGATATTTTTCTTTGATATTTTGCTGTGATATTTTCTCTAATACTCCAGGATGTACGTGAGCAGTTTTACAAAATAGAATAACGACGATTTCTCAAGGGTATGGTACAGTAGACACATGAAAGAGACGCTTTAAAACATCAAACAGACTGTGAGGAAGAGCGTCTCCTGAGAGTGAAGTTAAAAAGAGAGAAGCACCCCTCAGATCTTCCCAGCCAGACGCGTGACGGCGTTTTGTCATCTCAGAGAGAGACTCCTTCAGAAGATCCAGAGCGCTTCGTATACAGCCCACAGAAGAGGAATATGTAGCCACGAATGTTCAAAACGATAGGAGACTCGGAGTCCATTAAACGCTGTAAAATCTCGACCCACACTATCCATGCGGTCCGTGTGTGTGTTAATGTGTCCGTACTCCCCTGTGGCTGTAACACACTTCTGCCTCGTCTAATGGATTAGCTTTTATGAGTTTGCAACAATTGTAAAACATTGGATTTATTTGCCTCAGTGGAAATATAGCAGCACCTGTGTGTATTTTAAATGGCTGTTCTGCTGAGAATTTTGTGGCTTGTGGTGTTTGGATGGGAATGTAACCTAATTCATCAGCCGTTGAATAGATTAAGACATCTGATGTGCTAACATTATTTGGCATTTCTCAATACAATAGTGCAGTGGGCAGCGCTCTCACAGGACACATCGCAGCTTCATCCATGAGTTTAAATGAATGCACATTATTTGTCTCCTTTAGATAATAAGACAGTAGTTTTATCTCTCTCTGTATTGCAGATTAATCCTGATTTTAAGCATGCATCGACATGCACATTGCTGCTTAAGGGAAGATTCACACAGAACATGTTTTTACTTGTGAAATGGGTGAAAAATGCAAGGTCTCAAGACACTTTTTAAAAAGTTTAACTCATTTTAACTTACGTTTTCAGAACGCCGTTTCATGCACAATATGCTGCAGAAGATGCCAGACGTGAATGCAATAGTCAAACATATCCATCTAGTGCGTGTTTGCATAGAACAAACTATGGAAATGTAGTGCAATGGACTGGAAAAACGCATTCTGTGTGAACGGCCCTCGAAGTTCAGTCTTGCATTCGAGATGCACAGGTGAACTCTTTTAATAACGTGTTGCAAAACTCTTGTTTGCAGGGGTGATCCGTGAGACGTACCACCGAGACCGCGATCAGATGGTTCCCGTCACGCTCCTGGCCATCGCCGTCATCCTCGCCTTCGTCATGGGCGGCATCTTCTCCGGCATCGTGGTCTACTGCGTGTGTGACCACCACCGCCGGCGGGACTTCGAGCTGCCCGGCCGCAAAGATAAGGACTCGGTCCAGTCCCGACGGGGCTCCATGAACAGCGTCACCAAGCTGACGGGGCTCTTCGAGACGCAAGCCAAGGACGGACGGACAGAAGCCATTCTGACCCCGCTCATGCACAACGGCCGCTTGGCCAACGGCAAGATGCTCATCAAAGCTGACCAGCACTTGGATCTGACCGCTCTGCCCACGCCCGAATCCACGCCTATGCAGCCGCGGCGCAAACCCAGCCGAGGCAGCCGCGAGTGGGAGCGCAACCAGAACCTGATCAACGCCTGCACCAAAGACTTGCCCTCCATGGGCTCTGTGGTCATCCCGACGGATTTGCCTCTGCGGGCGTCTCCGGGCCACATCCCAAGCGTGGTGGTGCTGCCTTTGCCCCAACACCAGCATGAGTATGTAGAGCAACCGCACCGAGGAGAGCTCGCCATTGACCAGGCCGCCACGCTGGAGTACAAGTCCCTCAAGAGCCCAAGCTTGGCGGATGGCGAGAGAGCGCCTCCAAGAGTCCCCCAGCGAGAGGCGTCTCTGAGCGCCGTGATCCCGCCGGCCGTCCCGCAGATGGGCAAGAGGCTGGATGTGCATTCGTCCGTATACAGCCGCGGCTATCCCATGAGCTCGGGCTTCAAGAAACAGCACAACACCAACTCGTCCAACTCATCCCACATGTCCAGGAACCACAGTTTCCGTGTGGAGACGCCTCCTCCGCCCGCTCCGCAGCGGGTGGACTCCATGCACGTCACCTCTCCGCCGCCAATCCTCGGTCTGTCGCGCCATCCCAGCCTGAGCTCATACGGCTCTCTCCCCAGGCATCTCAAGCCTGACGTCCCTCCTAAACCGAATCTGGTGTCCCTTTCCACAAAAGCCAAGTCCGGGGACTACTGCACATAATCGATCGCTGCGGAATCAAAGACGGGGAACGTGAAAGTGCGTCTGCTTTGTGCAGCTGTGTACAGGAAATGCAACTCACTTTTTTGTTTTGTTTTGTATATTTTGTAATACATGTCGAGCTCAGGCTGATGATGGCGAACATCTGGGGCAACTCTTGGAGATTTCGTCCGGTGGCAGCATAGTTGCCGATGGTCATTTTCTGCCAAAAGCACTTCGGAGACGGGCGCAGAAGCTACGAGAGACGCCCCGGTTATCAAGCACTTGGTCACACAGCGAGTTCAGACGGGAACAGCTGCTGGAGTTTACTTTGGGAAAACTGTGAAAAGCCGCCGCCTGTCTCGGTGTTACTGTTACTGGACAAAGCAATCGAGTTCTGCCTTCGTGCAAGAGTTCAACACGTCTACTGAAACTGTTGACTAAATAACACGTGACTGTTAATACTAATAGCAGGTTGTATTTATTTTTTAATAAAGTGCTTTTGCAGAAAGAGCGTCTCTTTTAGGCTCAAATGAGATGGGAGCGATCTTTTTAATTTGAATTAATCAAGTGTGAAATTATTTAAAGTCATTCAACTGGAGCCAGCAGCCCTTCTTTCCACTAACTCTTTGGACGTTGCTAAACAAAGTCAGAGACGAGGGAAGCCTCCGTATGGAAGGAACAATTCTCGAGCCGTGCCAGAGGGGCTTGTGGGTAGAGCTTACAGGCCACAGACAGGAACTCCTGAATCTCACCTCTTCATCATCACCTTCTGAAATCCGCCGGTCCATCCGAGTGCCATTCAAGATGCTTTCAATCGTACGGTTTTCTCGTCCCGTCCACACACGACCCTTTCGTCGAATCATTTCAGCCTGTTTTTCTCCTTCCACCTGTAAATTTGTGCCTTACACCCCTGAGTAGTGAAGCGTTTGTTAGCTGTTAACTGTCGTAGTTCTTATGATGACGTTTGTTTCCCTCGTTTGATTAAAAAAGGAAACAAAAAAAACACGTAAGTGAAGAATGTAGGTGTTGTTGTTGTCGACTCTGGTCCCTTTGCTAACCATAAATGTGACCCTGGACCACAAAACCAGTCATAAGGGTCCATTTTTCCAAATTGAAAGCTGAATAAATAATCTTTCCATTGATGTATGGTTTGTTAGGATAGGACAATATTTGGCTGAGATACAACTATTTGAAAATCTGGAATCTGAGGGTGCAAAAAAATCTAAATATTGAGAAAATCATCTTTAAAGTTGTCCAAATGAAGTTCTTAGCAATGCATATTACTAATCAAAAATTAAGTTTTGATATATTTACGGTAGGAAATTTACTAAATATCTTCATGGAACATGATCTTTACTTAATATCCTAATGATTTTTAGCATAAAAGAAAAATCTATAATTTTGACCCATACAATGTATTGTTGGCTATTGCTACAAATATACCCCAGCGACTTAACACTGCTTTTGTGCTGCAGGGACACATATGGCTTTGTGCTTGATTTCTGATTGTGCCAATGAATCGTCGGAGTCGGCCCTCGTCGTGCTGGAAGAATGTTTGATTTTTTTTAGTTTGTCCTTTTTTACTTTTCACAAAGTCAAGATGATGTTTTACACTGTTTGTAGATGACTTGTTGTGTATCTGTGGATCGGGCTGCTTCGAGGCAATAAGAGAAAAACACAGGAACGAACCAGATTTGACGTTTCTCCCAAACACACACACAAGCTTTCTAATGTACACGATCAAACAGTTTTTAGGCAGTGAATACAGGCTGGCTCCTGTGTAGATATGCACTCCAATAATATTAGGAAACAGATTCATGTTTTCAATGTTTGTGACAGATTCCAATTAATATAATTTTCTAGCTCTATGGTTGTGATGTAATATGAGGGATTGTTATTGAACTATTTTGACACACGTTTTATTGAACTTGACGTCCAGGAATCTAGTTTTGGCTTTGTAGATGTTGAATTCACCCAGCTCTCTGAGTTTATCCGCAGCGAACGGAGCTCGAGGTTCTTGTGCTGGTGCCTTTCTAGACGCCTCTAGACTTTGGAAGTGGAGTTTGTACTCTTGTATGATATGGTTTTGTCACCGGCCCTCTCCCACATCTGATTCACAGCTAAATGTATGTTGTAAAGAAATCCTCTTTAATAAATGGAAAAAAGTAATAAAAACATTTCAGATTCTTGTCGCAGAGCTTGTGTTTTTTGTGAAACGTGAGACGGACGTCTTCACGCTACGATGAGCGCTTTAGGGGGTTTGGCACCTCCGCAGCAAAGACTCGATTGTTGAGGATCTGTAACCGTGAATAAACACGCCGATAAGAATCGCTCTGGAGCCCCGAGTGGCCGTTCCAGACGCCCGTCTTCAGACACGATGACAGATTAAATGTTTCTGGGGCATTGAAGGTCTCGGGTGTCCTGTTCCTTTGTCTCAACATGCTCTGTTTGCTCAAGGCTCTTGTCTTCACTGTTAGTCCATACGATATACACAACAGTAACTCGGTTACTAACTACCCGCTTTGTGTTCTGCAAACAGAGACTGAAACAGCCGAGATCCACACAATGGCTTTGACCTCCAGAACCTCGGCTCTGTCAAATTCAATTGTTTACACGTGCGATGCAGATCTGATTCACCGTCTGTAATCCTCTGATATCTGCTAATGACTGTCACCATGTGCCATTTCTGCCGGTCAGACTCATTTCTGTCATGTAGGTGAAAAAACCAGCCGTTTAATTGACGTCAGCTGCGAGAGGATGATCTAGCTGATAACTAAAACTGGAGTCTAGAGTGAAACCTCGCAGAAGATCCTGAATAAATCTCATTTACTTCCTTTTGAACCCGTCACAGTGAAGATGAGTCAGTGCCTCGTAATAAATCACATTCATAACCCGTGACATTTCACTCTCAAGATGTTTCAGCGCAATAAAAGTCAGGTTTTAGATAGGCTACATGTTCCAAATGGAAGCTACAGGCAAAACATTGTGTTTTCATGCACTGCTCAGTTTTTGGAGTTTCACTTCCATATCAAGTCTCTTCTTTCAGACGAGCGGAAAGAAAACATCCAAAACACACATTTAATTGTTTATTTTATTGCACTTTATCTATTTGTGTCTGTAGAATTCAGTCTTTAAAGAGTTTTTTTCTCTTACAAACAGTTTTATTCCTCTCTATATTCTGAAGGTTTGTCCATATTTCATTCACTCTGATTTATATAACATTTTACTCCAAAAAACATGGTGAAAATTTGCTTTTTTTCTGTGTGTTGACAGTATTTTCTGATTTATGGAGCGATAAAAAGAGAAATCCAGAATCCCCGCTGGAAAAACTGGCACCAAAATGAAAGAGTTTTGAACCTGGCTTTATCCAATGTTCAGATATTTATGTGCTTGGTTATGTAATGAGCGCTTTAGGGGGTTTGGCCCCTCCGCAGCAAAGACTCGATTGTTGAGGATCTGTAACCGTGAATAAACACGCCGATAAGAATCGCTCTGGAGCCCCGAGTGGCCGTTCCAGACGCCCGTCTTCAGACACGATGACAGATTAAATGTTTCTGGGGCATTGAAGGTCTCGGGTGTCCTGTTCCTTTGTCTCAACATGCTCTGTTTGCTCAAGGCTCTTGTCTTCACTGTTAGTCCATACGATATACACAACAGTAACTCGGTTACTAACTACCCGCTTTGTGTTCTGCAAACAGAGACTGAAACAGCCGAGATCCACACAATGGCTTTGACCTCCAGAACCTCGGCTCTGTCAAATTCAATTGTTTACACGTGCGATGCAGATCTGATTCACCGTCTGTAATCCTCTGATATCTGCTAATGACCGTCACCATGTGCCATTTCTGCCGGTCAGACTCATTTCTGTCATGTAGGTGAAAAAACCAGCCGTTTAATTGACGTCAGCTGCGAGAGGATGATCTAGCTGATAACTAAAACTGGAGTCTAGAGTGAAACCTCGCAGAAGATCCTGAATAAATCTCATTTACTTCCTTTTGAACCCGTCACAGTGAAGATGAGTCAGTGCCTCGTAATAAATCACATTCATAACCCGTGACATTTCACTCTCAAGATGTTTCAGCGCAATAAAAGTCAGGTTTTAGATAGGCTACATGTTCCAAATGGAAGCTACAGGCAAAACATTGTGTTTTCATGCACTGCTCAGTTTTTGGAGTTTCACTTCCATATCAAGTCTCTTCTTTCAGACGAGCGGAAAGAAAACATCCAAAACACACATTTAATTGTTTATTTTATTGCACTTTATCTATTTGTGTCTGTAGAATTCAGTCTTTAAAGAGTTTTTTTCTCTTACAAACAGTTTTATTCCTCTCTATATTCTGAAGGTTTGTCCATATTTCATTCACTCTGATTTATATAACATTTTACTCCAAAAAACATGGTGAAAATTTGCTTTTTTTCTGTGTGTTGACAGTATTTTCTGATTTATGGAGCGATAAAAAGAGAAATCCAGAATCCCCGCTGGAAAAACTGGCACCAAAATGAAAGAGTTTTGAACCTGGCTTTATCCAATGTTCAGATATTTATGTGCTTGGTTATGTATGCAAATTATTATTGCAGAATTTTCATTTATGCATTTGGCAGATGCTTTTATCCAAAGCAACTCACATTGCATTCAAGTTATACATTTCATCAGTAAATGCATTCCCTGGGAATCAAACCCATGACCTTGCCACTGCTTGCACTATAATCTAGGGATTAAAATATCGATATCTCGATATCAATCGATTCTCATTTATACGAACGATATCGATTCTTAAATCCCAAGAATCGATTATTCTAGCTTGTTTTCAAGTAAATGGACGGAACTTTGAAGGGCACTTCTCATCCAATATATCGCAATAAGCATTGTGCTTTGGTACTTTTAATATGAAACAAAGTCCCAGATTCCAAATTCTGTCCGTTGTATGGCAGA